CGGGCCGGCCGCAGGCTGCAGGCTTGCAGGCCCTGCGCCCGGCGGCTCCCGGGGGCCCGGCTCCCCGCTCCCCCCTCCCTCCCCGCGCCCAGGGCTCCCCCAGATCTGGGCATGCGGGCGGGCGCCGCAGCGACCAATGAGCGCGCTCGCCGTCTCCGGGAGCCGGGCCGGCTCTGCCCGCCTGGCATTGGGCACGCGGTGGGCAGCGGCGGGCGGGGCCTGGGGGGTCCTCGCGCCTGGTTGGGCCAGGCTTGTTGCTGGGTAACGGGGCGGCGAGTTTCCCCTGGCAACGGCGGCGGGTACCGCTCACTGGCTGGCCGCGGAGGAGGGGGGCGCGGCGCAGGCAGGCCCCGCAGACCCCAGCAACAGCGCGGCCCCCGCCCGCCGGAGCGGTAACCTTCACACCGCGGCCTCTCGGACCCCGCGGACGCCGGCGCCCCGCCCAGCCCCCGTCCGGGCCTGCGGGCTGGCTGCACAGGGTGGGGTGAGGTGGGGTGAGGTGGGGTGAGGTGGGGTGAGGTGCGGTGGGATGGGGTGAGATGGGGGTGGGCGCAGGAGGCCACCGCGGGGAGCCCGGACTCGGGCCCTGTCCAATGAAAAGTTAAGTCCTTCCCAACTCCCTCTGGCCGAGCCCAGAAACCCGCTTTTCCAGGATGAGCCTGGGGAAGGGTGTGAGTCTGCAGTCAAGTCGCCGGGACACGTTTCTTTTTTAATATATGTTGTTGATTTTTTTTTACCGAGAGGAAGGGAGAGGGATAGAGAGTTAGAAACATCGATGAGAGAGAAACACCCATCAGCTGCCCCCTGTACACTCCCCACGGGGGATGTGCCCCACAACCAAGGTACATGCCCTTGACCAGAATCAAACCTGGGACCCTTGGGTCTGCAGGCCGGCGCTCTATCCACTGGGCCACACCGGTCAGGGCTGGGACACATTTCTTGAACTCGCACTTCACACGGAAGGGGCACTCATTTAACCTCCCCATTTAACTGCTGGTCCCACGGTGACCCCCTTTGTACCGGGGGAGACACTGAGGCACAGGGGGGGGAGCTGCTTGATCAAGACCACCCGCCTGGCTCCAGTGTGGTGGTTTCGTCATCCCTTTGAGAGGCGTTACTATTCCAAACGAGAAGCTGGGCACCTCGGGCCGCTGGTTTGAAACCCCCGGCCCCGACCTAAGGGCCATAGTTTAACGTTCTTGTTTAGATTCTCAGAGCGTCGGGAGACCCCCTCACTGGCAGGAGGAATGCTGGGGAAGGTGTATTAAAGCACCCGCTGGGCCCTGGTGCTCTATGTTTATGGACCTTCTCACTGCAGAATCCCCTGAGGCAGGGCCCTTGAAGTCCCCAACTCACAGTTGGGGAAGTTGAGGCACAGACGGGTGGCCACTTGCCCGGGGTCACACAGCCAGTGGGTGGCAGAGCTGGGAATTCTAACTCAGGCCTTTTAGACCCAGAATCCGCCTCGGGTAGCTCAGCCCGGAGGCTTTGGGGATGGGCCACAGCTGTGGGCCTGGTCTCAGAAGATAGTCTGTCATCATTTGGAGCAGGATCTGGACTGCATGGCGGGAAGGATCTTGACTGGTGACACTGCTTATGGGCTGGTGACTCCTGGCCCTTTCCTGCTCTCCTCTCTGCACCCCCCCCAGCCCCCACTCCCACCCAGTCAAATTCCTCCAGTTCTTCCCACTCATTTTTTTAAAAATACATTTTTTATTGATTCTTTACAGAGAAGAAGAGAGAGGGATAAAGAGATAGAAACAACCACCAGCTGCCTCCTGCACACCCACCACCGGGGATGTGCCCGCAACCAGGGCACATGCCCTTGACTAGAATCGAACTTGGGACCCTTCAGTCCGCAGGCCGATGCTCTATCCACTGAGCCAAACCGGTTTCGGCCTTCATACACATTTTCTTCTCAGAAAATCATCCCAGCACATCTGATCTACTGGTGTTTAGTCCAGATTGGGCAGCTTGAGGGAACGGACCCGTGAGTGAGGGGCACTGGCTGGACTGGGAGCTAGCCCAGGGCTGGGGCATGCCTCTCTCTTACCTTCATACTGCCAGGCACAGAGCAAACACAATACCCAGCGGCACAGGTGACAAATGCTAACATTTATTAGGCGCCTACTGCATGTCAGACGCTGCGCTCCGAGACTTCCATGCATGAGCTCAGTGGCTGGGCATTGACCTTTGAACCAGGAAGTCACAGTTTGGTTCCTGGTCAGGGCACATGCCAGGGTTGCAGGCTCCAACCAATCAATGGTCCTCTTTCAGCATTGGTGTTTCCATCTCTCCCTCTCCCTCCCCCTCTGACGTCAATAAAAATATTTTTTAAATAAATACGTAAAGCCGCATTTCTCAAATGCCTTTAAACTCATTCATTCAAGTCAGAAGTACACTTTCTTTGTGTTCTATTTCACAAAAATAGTATTTTCCTTTGACTTCGTGATTATTTTTATTTTTTTTTTTTTGATGATACATTTTGTGTTGTTTTCAGTCTGGTCAAGAGCCATTTGAGTTGCAGGTAGAAGGAACTATTACAGAGCACAGGGAAGAATGTGGGGTGATAGAAATGTTCTGAATCTTGATTGAGGTGGTATACAAGAGCACACTTTTTCACACCTCACCAACGATCCTCTGAAAAAGTCAATTTCATTGTGTGTAAAAATCCTATATCATAAAAGGTTAATATGCAAAATGTCCCCATGGGCCGGAGTTCGACCCACCAGGAGTTAGACGTGCGCTGATCACCAGGGGGCAGCGTGGAACATGGCGGGCGTCAGTGACACAGCACTGGCAGCAGGTGGCAGTGTAGGCACCGCTGGCCCTGACAAGAGTGGGATCTCAGGTGGGATGGTGGAGCAGGGGAGCAGGCGGTGCTAGGCCAAAGGTGGGGTGAGCAGGGGCCCCCAATTTCCCTCGTGACTGGTGGCGGGGGGGGGGGCAGGTCGGAGAGCGGGCAGCACCAGGCCAAGGAGGGTGTGAGGGGGTGACTCCAATCACCCCACCGGTGGCCCACGGATCGGCCCTGATTGCTGGCCAGGCCTAGGGACTGTGCCCGTGCACCAATTTCATGCACCTGACCTCTAGGTTCTCAATGAACTTGTATAAAAACAATAAGATCCACGAACGTGATTTCACACCCCACGGTTTGCTCACGGCCCACCGTTTGAAAAACACTGGAAGGAAGAGAAGAAGGAAGGGGGATGACCGCATTAACGAATGGGGAAAGGGAGGGAAGGAGGGGGGTCGAGTCAGTGCCCCATATTTAAGCTGGGAGAGTTCAAGCGGGGTCTGCACTTCCTGCTTCTCTTGGGAAATTGTGGGATCCGTGTGGAAGCGAGTTTGAGCACCTGAGCAAGCCCACTATCGCTCAGACCTGGCACCCCTTCTTGGCCAGCTCGGTGCCAGGCACTCCGAGGCGCCTCGCCCTGTGGTGACGCAGTTTGGTTCGGGATGTGGCAGAGAGGGGATGGAGAGTTCTGGGGGACAGAGCCCGGGGCCCCTGGGGGAAGGAAGGACAGGGATGAGCCAGGCAGGCCGGGTGGGAGTGACCCTGGGAAACGGAGAAGGGAAAGGGGAATTGAAACCCACAAGCCAGGGTGAGCGGCGGTGCAGGGGCTGCCCGGGCATGTTCGTGCCTGGTGCCTGGGGTTCCGTCTGGCCCCGGGTTTCCTGCCAGACGTGTGGCAACTGTGACCCATTGCTCCAGAGGGTGCCCCCTTGGTGGGTGAGCCCGTTAGCAGCAACTTGTCACGGGTACGATTGTGTATTGGAGGCCAGTTTTTTTCTTTAATATTTTTTATTGATTTCAGAGAGGAAGGCAGAGAGAGAGAGAGAGAGGTAGAAACCTCAATGCTGAGATAGAATTATTGGTTGGGGTTAGAGCCTGCAGCCCCAGGCATGTGCCCTGACCAGAATCCAGCCACGACCTCCTGGTTCATAGGTCAAGCTCAACCACTGAGCAACACTGTCCGGACATGGCCAGTTTCTTTATGTCTGACTTGATCTATGTCTGTAAGGGCCAACCTTTAAAAAAAATATGTTGTTTTTTGTTTAATCCATTTCAGAGAGGAAGAGAGAGGGAGAGAGAGAGAGAAACATCCATGATGAGAGGGAATCACTGATCGGCTGCCTCCTGCACGCCCCACACTGGGGATTGAGCCCGCAATCCGGGCATGTGCTCTGGGCCAGAATGGAACCAGATCCCGCAGGCCAGGCCCTGGCTCTATCCACTGAGCCAAACCAGCTAGGCCCGTGAGGGTCCATTTTTTTGCCGGTGTCACCGTGTCAGCTGCGAACCGGTGTGGCTGTTTGTGTGTGTCCCTGGAGGAGTGTCCTCCAGTTCACGCTGTGTGTGTGTGTCCAGGTATCCGCGACAGCTGTGGTGCGCGCACTCGCGGGCCTGCTCAGGGGGAATGTCCCGGATGTGACCTCGGTCAGTTTGGGGGTCTGGGTGCGCTGCTCCCCGTGGGTGTCTGTGCTCCTGTGTGTACCGGGTCCGTCTGCCTGTCCCGCAGGCACCCGTGCCCAGAGTCCGCCTGCCCAGGGGTCTGAGTGGGGACCTGCCCGGGGCGCTGGCACTGTCCCCGGGCCCCTGTCCACGGTGCGCCTGGCCTGGGTGCGTCCGGCTGGGCTGCCTCCCGCGCCCCGGCCCCGCCGGCACCGGGCTCTGTGCCCCTGCAGCGCGGCCCCGGGTGTGTGTGTGTGTGTGTGTGTCGGGTGCGTGTCCGTGGGCCCCAGTCAGTGTGTCAGTGTGTCAGCGTCCGTGTCCGGCCGTCCCGCGCCCGCCCCGGGCCAGGCCCCGCCCCGCCCCCGCCGCAGGGAAACCCCCGCCCGAGTTCGGGGGCGCGGCCGCGCCAGCAAGTCCCGACTTGTCCGCGGGGGCGGGGCCTGGCGTCACGCGGGGGCGGAGCGTGGGACCCGCGGCGGCGGGCGGGGCGGAGCAGCGAGCGGCCCGGGACCCGCCGGGCGGCCGGAGACGCGGCGCGAGCCACATGCGAGCGGGCGCCTGGCGGCCGCACGAACACGATCGGCGGCGGCCACGACGCGGACGCGCCCGCGGCTCGAGCGGCGGCGGCGGCGACAGCGACAGCAGCGGCCACCGCGGTCCGAGCAGCAGCAGCAGCAGCAGCAGCAGCCGCCGCCGCGGGGAGCGGTTCTTCTTCGCGGGCGCGCCCTCCTGGAAGCAGCCGCCCGCCCCCATCGCCGCCCCCTCTGGCGTGTTCATGCCCCCGGGGTGAGTTGCGCACCCCGGTCCCGCGGGCGCGATGGGCCAGGCCGGGCGGGCTCCCTGGAGGAGGCGGCGGGAGCGCACGCGGAGAGCACCGGGGGCGCCCTGCAGCCCCGCCGCGTGCCTCCCCCTCTCCGTACCCTCTGCCCCCCGGGAGGGACTCGGGCTGGGCTGGGGTCGCGGGGCTGGGGTCGCGGGGCTGGGCCGGGGTCGCGGGGCTGGGCCGGGGTCGCGGGGCGGGAGGCGCCGAGGTCCGGGCGCGCAGGTGCCTGAGCGGTCTGGCGGGTTTGTTTACAAACAATGGGGTGCGGGCTCGACAGCGCCCCCTGGCGGCCGGCGCGGCCCCGGGGAAGTGAGTCGACCCCGACTCGCCCGGTCCCCCCGCAGTCCGCAGTCCGGGCGGGGCGGAGGCGGGGTGCGGGCGGAGGGGCGGCCACACCCCGGGCGCGCACCCGCGGGGGGCGGCGACAGGGGGCGGCTGCGGCCGCGGCGGCTGCGGCTCCCGCGGGCGGGGGCTGCGCCCCAGCAACAGCCGGTTATTGGCCCCGCGCTCGGCGGCGGGCGGGGCGGCGCACGTGGCGGCGGCGGGGCTGGGGCTGACAGCGCGGGGGGCGCCTGGTCCCGCCGTGGCCGCGGCGCGGGCTGTGGAGCTGCAGGTGTCTCGCCTGGGTGTGTGCGTGCGGCTGCCTCCGAGTTTGCGCTGGGGTCCGCGGGGAGCGGGGTGTCCGGGGTCCGGGGGCATGTTGGGGCGGGTGTGAGTGTGAGTCCCCGTGTGGGGTGTGTGTGTGTGTGTGTGTGTGTGTGTGTGTGTGTGTGGAGTGCTGCCTGGGTCTGCCCTGCCTGCGGGGAGGGCTCTGTTTTTGTGGGGTGAGTGTGTGTGCTCTGGGAGAGTTGTCTGTGTGTGATGTTTGGGGGGGATGCTGTTTGGGGGTGACTCTCTTGGATCCGTGTTGGTGGGCGGGCTACGCTGTTGTGTGTTGTTGGAGGGAGCTTCTGTGTGTGTGCGCGCGCGCTTCTGTGTGTATCCTGCCCGACGTGTTGTTTGTGTGTGCTCCTGTGTCTTGCCTGTGTGGACTGTCTGTGGCTGTGTCTGTCTCCGGGGCATGTGTCTCAGCGAAGCGTGTGTGACGGGTGCCCGCTGGATGGATGCGGTGCCAGGTGTCTGTGAGTTCTGCATGGCGTGTGTGTGTGTGTGTGTGTGTGTGTGTGTGTGTGTGTGGTGGGGATTGTCTCGGGCTCTGTTTGGCTTATGTGTCTGGGAACTGAGGACCGTGTCTCTGTGGGTCTGTGCAGCGCCGTCAGTGGGTGTTGCTGGCAGCCTCTCTCTCGCACGGGGCTTGTCTGAGCCCGTGTGTGTGTGTGTGTGTGTGTGTGTGTGTGTGTGTGTGTTGGGTCTGAGGGGCTTGTCTCCGCGATCGGCTGGCTCATGTGTGTCATGTGGGCTGCGTGTGTGTAGTGTTTATGTCGGTCACGTGAGACCTCTGTTTTCTGTGGGAGCGGGAGGCGTGCGTGCCGCCAGGGCTGCGGGAGCGGAGTTGCTGGCGTGTGCGGCGTGTGCCCGGGGCTGACAGTTGGGGACGGGGCTTTGAGGTGAGGGGAGGAGGGAGGAGGGTTCGTGTTCTCCTCTGCTGCGGGGTCTGTGTATGTGTTGTGGCTGGAGCGTGTGGTGATGCGTCTGGGTCTGAGGACATGTGTCTGTGTGTTGCCTGACGTACATGTGTCCTGGGGTCTAAGAGTTGGCGACACGCAGGCGTGTTTCCGTGGTGTTGGTCCGCGCGAGTCCGTTCTGTGCTGATGTGTGTGTGAGTCCTGAGGTGTGCGTGCCTTGCCTCGTGGGTGTGTATGTGTTTGAGAAGTGTGTGGGTTTCTGTCTGTGCTCGTATTGGCTGGCTGGTAGTGTGTATGTCAGTTGTGTGTGTGTGTGTGTGTGTGTGTGCATATCCACACTGGGTCAGTGTGTGAGATTCTGACTATTGGTGCATGGGGGGGATGGGTTGTGCCAGGCAGCATGCATTGTTTGTATAGCTCGTGATGGTCTGTGTGTTCACATTTGGTCAGTGTTCCTGTGTGTGTGTGTGTGTGTGTGTGTGTGTGTGTGTATGTGTGTGTGTGTGTGTGTCCTGTGTAGCAATGTCCGACACTGGGACCATCTCAATGTTTCTGTGCCAATGGGAGATGAGGTGGGAGGGTGGTCGGGGGCTGGCCCGTCCTGCCTGAGCCTTCGTGTGTGTGTGTGTGTGTGTGTGTGTGTGTGTGTATGTGTGTGTGTTGGGGAGCCATCCCAATGCCTGGCTGCCCTCCGTGTGTGCCCATCACTGTGTCCTAAAAGTGACCCCCCCCCATGCCCTGCTGGGTGAGTTTGTGTTGTGGGGCCATCAGCCCTCACACTCACACGCCTGACTCAGCCCCCTGAGCTCTTGAACTTGCTGAGAGCCAGCCTGTGCCCCCCTGTCCCTCCTGTGTGCCCATCGCCCTATGGAGCCCGGTTCCCTCGGGGGGTGTGCATCTTGTGTGACCATCACACAAGCCTCGGTCTGGGCCCAGGGTGCGCGGCAGGTGCCATCCCTGCCCTGTGTGTACTCATGCTATGTGCGGGAGTGGAGGTGCCTGTGGACCTGTGCGGGGGGTGTGGGGGGGCCCCGGTGACCCCTGTACTCGCCGGCTGACCCCCTTCTCTTCCTGTCCTGCAGGCCCCCTGGGAGCACCATGGCCCGAGCACGCCAGGAGGGCAGCTCCCCGGAGCCCGTAGAGGGCCTGGCCCGTGACGGCCCTCGTCCCTTCCCACTGAGCCGCCTTGTGCCCTCCGCTGTGTCCTGCGGCCTCTGTGAGCCCGGCCTGCCTCCTGCCCCTGCCACCCCCGCCCTGCTGCCAGCTGCCTACCTCTGCGCCCCCGCCGCCCTGCCCGCCGTCACTGCCGCCCTGGGGGCCCCCCGCTGGCCCGGGGGTCCCCGCAGCCGCCCCCGAGGCCCGCACCCCAACGGTGAGTGCCCACCCCACACCGGGATGCGGAGGGCTGGGAGCGAGACACTGAGGAACTGGCCCAGTGGGAGCGGGCGGGGGGAGGTGGCGAGCTGGCCGGGCCACAGGGAGGGTGTGGCCAGTGTGGTCTTTGTGTTGCAAGAAGCAGGAAGACGGGGAGTAGGAGGCTGGGGGTGGGGACGGCCGAGTGGGAAGTCCCCCCTGGAATCTGACTGCAGTCCCCGAGTGGCGGCCCCTGGCCTCTTCCGGGCCCGGGGCGACAGCTGTGTCCCAGCCCCTGTCCCCTCGGCTGGGTGCCCTCCGTGCCCGGAGGCGGTGGTGAGGGAGAGGGTGGGCGGGGAGGGAGGACGGGCACTGCAGGACTCCGGGGAGGGGTCCAGGGTGGCCTTCTGCCATTCTCGGGTCTCTTGGGCCAGGGCCCGCCCTCTGCGGCCCAGGAGGAAGGAGGGGGAGGGGCCATTGTGCTGGGAAAGTGAGTCTGAGGGTGGAGGGGGGAGCCTTGGGGAGGGAAGGGTTAAAGGTCTCCTGCCTGATGGGCCTTTAACCCTGTGGTGCCCGGCAGCCCCATGGCCAGGGCGGACTGTCCTGGTTCCCTCCAGCCCCACCCTGTCCCCCACGGGAGGCTGGGAGAGAGGAACTTCTCCAACTCAGCTCCCGGGCTCCATTTCCAGCCCAGAGTGTCAGGTGTGGAAACTGAGGCCCTGAGAGCTGGCATAGGGATCCCCCCAGGGCAGCCAGGGCCGGGGTGGTGACAGGAGGAAGAGAGGTCAGCGGAGAGGGCGGGGCAGGAAGGCCTGTCCTGCACCCCCAGCTCCCCCCCTCCCCCCAGCAGCCCGCCTGGCCTCTGGTCAGGCCCTGCCACTTCCGGGGGCGCGGCCTGCCTGTGGTTGGACACCAGCGGGCAGGAGACCTGAGGCTTGTGACTCTGGGTGTAGCCCGTGGCTGTGTCCCCGCGTGACCTTGGGCCGCTTCTCAGGATGGGCCTCAGTTAGTCCATCTGTGAAATGGGCCAGAAGCGTCTGGGCCTGTTTTGGAGCAGAGGCCCTTAGGATAAGAGAGAGGTCCTCCAGGCCAAGGGGAGCCGGACAGGCGACTCCCCAGAGGCCGCCTCTGGCTTTAGGGTGCCCGGAAGGGGGGACACCTCTGGCTCCGAGAGGGGGACATGGGGTCGCCTGAGACGAGGCGGGGGGCAGAGGAGAAGTCAGGCGCGTGGGAAGGGGCGGCACAGGCCCCGGCTAGCTAGCCCCCGGGGCGCACCGCGGGGCCCGTTGAGGTCATGGGTGCTGACCCCGCCCTCGGCTCTCCCCAGGTCCTCAGCCCGCACTGTCGCCCGCGGAGCAGCACCTGGAGTCGCCGGTGCCCAGCGCGCCGGGGGCCCTGGCGGGCGGCCCCACCCAGGCGGCCCCGGGCGTCCGCGGGGAGGAGGAGCAGTGGGCCCGGGAGATCGGGGCGCAGCTGCGGCGGATGGCGGACGACCTGGACGCGCAGTACGAGCGGCGGGTGAGTGCGGGGGAGGGCAGACGGCAGGTGGGACCTCCCGCCGGGAGGGGCGGCGGGCGGCCCCGCCAGATGTGCGGCAGCTGCTGCCCCGCGCGGCGGGGTCGCGCCGGGGACAGGCCGGGGGGCGGGGCGGGCGGCCGCGGAGCCCGGAGCGCGCGCGGCGGCGGGCACGGCCGGGCCGGGCCGGGCCGGGCGGGCGAGCGGCGGGAGCACCGCGGCGGCCCGGGCCGCGGCCGGGACTGCGGGCGGCGCCGGCGGAGCGGCTCATATACCCGGGCTATTTATAGCCGGTGAGTCAGCAGCGCCGGCGGCCGCGCCCGCCCCGCCCCCGCCGCCTGCGCGCGCCCCGCTCCCCGGCCGCTCGGGGGCGGGGCCTGTCCCCTTCCCGCCGGAGGCCACGCCCCGCCTAGGCCACGCCCCCGAGCCGACAGCCCCGCCTCTGCTTAAAACAAAATAGTGGAAGCCTGCAGCAGGGAATAGACAACACCAAGCATGGGGCGTCCGCACGCACTGCTTGCTTATTCTAAGGAAAACAAACACCGGGGACCCATCTCCTCCCCCTGCCACTCCCCCAGTTCCCAAGGAAACTCTTACAATGGGGGGCCCCATTCCTCTGCAGGTGTTGATTTTATATATATATATATATATATATATATATATATATATATATACACATACACTTTATTGATTTTTTTTTAGAGAAGAAGGGAGAAGGATAGAGAGCTAGAAAGATTGATGAGAGAGAAACATTGATCAGCTGCCTCCTGCACACCCCACACTAAGGGATGTGCCCACAACCAAGGTACATGCCCTTGACCGGAATCAAACCCCGGACCCTTCAATCAGCAGGCTGACGCTCTATCCACTGAGCCAAACCGGTTTCGGCTGGTGTTGGTTCTTTTACTCCATGTTTACCAGGCCACAAAGCCATGCTTAGGGCCGTGGGGCGTTTTTGGCATAATATACGGGGTGTCCCCCAAAAGTGTATGCACACTTTAACAGCTGGTAGTTCAATTTTGGAAGTGAAATGTACTTTAATAAACACTTCCTCTATAATTATTCAAAGTGTGTACATTTTTGGGGGGGACGCCCTGTAGATATAGTGTGTGTTTCTCTCCAAACTCTGTCCCCTCTCTCCGTTCATACTTGAGCTTCATCCGTATGGGCCGGAGAGCTCTGAGTCCCCATTTTCCCGGGATCGACATCCGGTGTCCGTGTTCATTTACCCGTTGTTGGATCTTTGGGAATTTTTTTCTTTTAGGCATTTTTTTTACATTTTTTACATTTTTTCAAATTTGATGTATTGGCTTTCTTTTAGGCTCCTCCCAATGGTGCCCTCCTGTGTCCCCTCGGGACCTGCCTTCGGGGGCTGCCCGCCCTCAGCCTTGGGAAATGGCTGCTTGCTTGCTCACCAGAGTGGCTGTGGCACAGAGCGCCTGGCAGCTGAGAAATGGTGGCAGGCCTTTTAGCTTCCTTCTTTCCTGCCACGAGAAGGGGGGCTCCCACAGGCACCCCGAGTCCTCATGCTCTCTCTGGAGAGAGGGCAGGGGCCAGCGCAGCCTCAGCGCAGGTGGTGAACGGTTCCCAGTTCTCCTCCGTGCACGGATTGTTCTAGAATCGCTGACTGTGGGCTCCCTCCTCCCTTCTCTCCAGCCAACCAGCCAGCCTCTGAGGGGAGGGCAGGATGGGCTGCAGTCCAGCCCCACCCCTGGGCCCCGTGGTCCTTTGGGTGACGAGATCCCAGCTCATAGGCACCCAACACTGGCTGTCCTTCCTGGAGGTGACGACACTGGCCCAGATGGGCAGAGGGACCGGGCTGTGGGCCCGGCTGACCATGACAGCAGCTGCCTGGCAGCGTTGTGTGAGGACGTAGCTGCCCGTCCCTGCCCTCGGACCTGCCGGCCTCCTGACGCCCCCTTCTCTCTCTCTCTCCCCGCAGAGGCTGGAGGCCCAGCAGCGACACCGCCCCTCGCCGTGGAGGGTCCTGTACAACCTCCTCCTGGGACTGCTGCCCTTGCCCCGGGGCCGCGGGGCCCCCGAGATGGAGCCCAACTAGGTGCCTGCACCCGCCTGGCAGACGTCGGGGACTCGGGGGGCAGGACCCTCCCGCACCCTGACGCCCTGGCCAGCACCGGGGACGTGTTCCGCACCATGTAGCATACCGGACTGCGAGCCCTGCCTGTCCCAGGGGCGGGCCCGGGCGGCCACTCCAGACCCAGCCCCGGCCCAGCCTGGGTGCACTGTCGGAGACGCGGACTCCTGGGCCCCTGGCCGCGAAGCCAGGGGAGAGAGGGCTGATGGACCGACTCCGCGTCCGACGGCGGCGGTGACCGAGGGGTGGGGTCCGAGCCGCCCGCCTCCGCCGCCCACCACCATCTCAGGAAAGGCTGCTGGTGCTGGCTGCCCGTTCCAGCTGCAGGGTGACACTGGGGGGGGGGTGGTGACCCTCTCCCCGGCGCCCCTTCACTTTGGGCCTGGCCTCAGGCCCCCGGTGCTTCCCCCCCTCCTCCTGGGGAGGGGGCCCCGTGAAGAACAAATGAGCCAAACGTGACCACTAGCCTCCTGGAGCCAGAGCATGGGGCGCGTCCGACGGCTGCCCCGGCCCAGCGCCCAGCCGTCTTCCCTGAGCCAGCCGGCGGGTGGTGGGCATGCCTGCCTCACCTCCACCGGGGGCGGCCGGGGGGCCCAGACTGTGAATCCTGTGCTCTGCCCGCGCCCACCCCCTCCCCCATCCATCCATTCATAGGTTTAGAGAGCGCACGCGTGACCACTGGCATTCATTGGGGGGGTGGGATGTGTTGGCGGAAACCGCCCCAGCCTTAGTCCCCAGGGCGAAGCGCTGGGGGGCAGAGGGGAGTCAGGGAGGGGGAGTCTCAGAGGAGGGAGGAGTCTGGGAGCGGGGAGGGACGGCCCAGCCTGTAAATTACTGTACATGCACTGCTGTAGATACCGGAATGAATTTTCTGTACATGTTTGGTTAATTTTTTTTGTACATGATTTTTGTATGTTTCCTTTTCAATAAAATCAGATTGGAACAGTGGACCCTCTCTCTGCTCTCCTTCCCCGCCTGCGACCGGGGCCGAGCTGCTGGGACCCGCCTGGGCCCTCGGGCACACCTACCCCCCCTCCCATAGAAGCTGCTGGGACCCGCCTGGGCCCTCGGGCACACCTACCCCCCCTCCCATAGAAGCTGCTGGGACCCGCCTGGGCCCTCGGGCACACCTACCCCCCCTCCCATAGAAGCTGCTGGGACCCGCCTGGGCCCTCGGGTACACCTACCCCCCCTCCCATAGAAGCAGAGTCCCGTGAGGTGTGGTTTGGGTGCCTTCCCCGTGTTCGCCCCCTGGATAAAGTAGGTCATGGGGGCCCTGTATTTCCTGAGTGAAAATGTGACCTGCAGCCCAGACCAGTTTGGCTCAGCGGATAGAGCCTCGGCCTGTGGACTGAAAGATCCCAGGCTCGATTCCGGTCCAGGGCATGTACCTTGGTTGCAGGCACATCCCCAGTCGGAGGTGTGCAGGAGGCAGCTGGTCGATGTTTCTCTCTCATCGATGTTTCTAACTATCCCTCTCCCTCCCTCTCTGTAAAAAAAATCAATAAAATATATTTTTTTTTTAAAAAATAAGAAAAAAAGAGAAGAAAGTGTGACCTGCAGCTTATTCGGCAGCACCAGCATGAGGGGGCCTGGGGAACTTGTCAGGAACGAGACGCCTGTCCCTGCTCCCATGAAGGCACCCGGTGACATGGGAGCAGAGACACAGCGAGACTTCACTGCTGCCTAAGGCCCGGCACACGGCCCGGCACCAGGAGCTGGTGTGGACTTCACATAAGAAGGCGACCTGGCCCTGGCTCTTCTGGGTCCTCTCCCTGTGGGACTGGCTGACGCATTAGTGATGAGAGAGAATCGCTGATGGGCTGCCTCCTGCAAACCCCACGCTGGGGATCAAGCCTGCAGCCTGGGCATGTGCCCTGACCGAGATCAAACCGTGACCTCTGTGACCTCCCGGTTCATAGGTCAACAACGCTCAACTATTGAGCCATGTGGCCGGGCAACATTAGCATTTCTTATCATGTATTTCTGCTGGTGACATAGGCTCTTAGCTTTATCTGAAAATATCTATTTTCACTGGTTGTAGACTTCTACAATGGACTGTTTCAGCATTTAAAAATATATATATATATATATATTTGTATTGGTTTCAGGGAGAAAGGGAGAGGGAAAGAGAAGGAAACATCAATGATGAGAATCATTGATTGGGTGCCTCCTGCTCGCTCCCCACTGGGGATCAAGCCCACAACCCCAGGCATGTGCCCTTGACCGGAATTGAATCTGGGACCCTTCAGTCCACGGACTGATGCTCTATCCACTGAGCCACCAGCTAGGGCCTTTCAGCATTTTTAAAATATTGTTTTGGACCATGGCCAGGCTGCTCAGTTGGACGGAACATCATCTTGCTCTGCCAAGGTTGTGGGTTTGATCTCTGGTCAAAGCACAATCAAGAATCAACCAATGGCCCTAGCTGGTTTGGCTCAGTGGATAGAGCGTCGGCCTGCGGACTCAAGGGTCCCAGGTTCGATTCCGGTCAAGGGCATGTACCGTGGTTGCGGGCACATCCCCGGTGGAGGTGTGCAGGGGGCAGCTGATCGATGTTTCTAGCTCTCTGTCCCTCTCCCTTCCTCTCTGTAAAAAAATCAATAATATATATATATATATATATATATATATATATATATATATATATATATAAATTTTTTTTTTAAATCTGTCATATTTAGAGGGGAAGTGGAGACTGATGGATGGAAAGAGCAGACGCCCAGGGGCGGTCAAGGGCAGAGGCCACATTCTGTCAGCCAGGTCCCAAGGGATGGGTTGCCCCAGGCTGTGCGGCTTTCTGCCTTGGAACCAAGGTGCAGACCAGCCCTGCAACTGGGCGGAGCTGAGGCTCAGAGGACCTGGCAGCGAGGCGCTCAGCTAACCCCTGTCCCCTCCACAGGCTGACCCCGAGCCACCTCCAAATGCTCCCTCCTGCCATGGTTGCTTCTGGAGATTTACTTTTCATTGTCCCGTTTTTTTTTTTCTTCCGTAAAAAAAAACAAAACACATGTCCGTGTGTCTTTGTAAAACTTTCAATCCTGTACTACACGCATGTACTATCTATGCAAACAACAAATGAGCTGTACAATGCTGCCAGCCTACAGCCTTTTGGAAAGAATCACCATCTCAAATGCATTTATATACTCTGTAACCTGAGCGCCGGGCTTCGGGGAGTCTTTGCCAAGTGCGTACAATGAAAACAGGCTCAATGTCACTCACCAGCAGCCTGATTACATAGCTTATGGCTCATCTGTGGTTTTGGAATTCGATGCCTGATGCACTGACAAGGATCTCCAAGGCAATGAGGGAAAGCAAGTTGCAGAAAAGTTATTTATAAATAATAGCATAATAGCAGATAACATAGGGCAATTTCTACTCAGGGAACACAGTCATTCATTTAATTCCCAGGTATCAGAGGAATATACTATCATCCCGTTTTACAGATGGGTACACAAAGGTCACTTGCCCAAGGTCACGCAGCTGAGTGGTAGAGTCTGGACTTGAACCTGACAGCCAGCCCGTAAGGATTCACTCAATGGCTGTGAGGTATGACCTCTGGGAGCTAGGTATGACATCCCCAACCGACACAAAAAGCAGCTCACGTTTCTCTCCGAAATCCTGAGTTTAGCTGTGAAGTCGGCTGCTCCCGCTGCATGCCAACACCGAGCTGACAGGCTGTGACGCAGTGGGGAGGAATCTTTTTATTCTTATGCTGACTCTATATTTATTTCTATTGATTTCAGAGAGAAAGGCATGGAAATGATGAGAGAATTATCAATTGGCTGCCTCCTGCAGGCCCCCCACTAGGGATGGAGCCTGAAACCCAGGCTATGTGTCCTGACCGGGAATGGAACCGTGACCCCCTGGGGTCCACAGACCAATGCTCAACCGCCGAGCCACACGCAGGCGGGCTTACGCTGGTATATTGCTTGACAGGTTCTTTGTTTTTTAAAATATATTTTATTGAGTTGATACAGAGAGGAAGAGAGAGGGATAGAGAGTTATAGAATCATCGATCAGCTGCCTCCTGCACACCACCACCCCCCTCCCCACTGGGGATGTGCCCGCAACCAAGGTACATGCCCTTGACCAGAATCAAACCTGGGACCTTTCAGTCGGTCTGCCCTGAAGGGTCCTGGGTTCAATACTGGACCAGGGCAGACTGACGCTCTATCCACTGAGCCAAACCGGTTTCGGCTGGTTGACAGTTTTAAACAAAAAAAAATCCACCTGCCCTTCTGGACCCAGCTGAAGGTCCTCCCCTCGCTCCTGGGCTGCCCAGGGGTTCCCAGTGGAGACCGATAGGTCTCAGGACCTTGCGAAGGCAGAGCCCGTGTCCTCGTCCTCACCGAGACCTTAAGCGATCTGAAGTGGTGCCGCTACGTGCATGTTTCCTAAATGTCCCGCACGAAAGCCGTTTGGGTGAAGCCATTTCCTCATCTGCAATCTTGTTACAATAGCACCTGCCCCCATGGGGCTGCTAGGAGGATTCCAAGCAGCTAACCTACAAGTGTTTTGGAAACGCCAGGGAGGTAGAGTGACACCCCAGCATTAACATCAAACTCTTTGCCCTGAAAACTGCCACCCAAGCTTCCATTCCGCCACCTGTACAAGGGCAAAGAGGACACAGCCAGCAGATAAGCATGTATTTACAAAAGAAACTGACTCTCATCAGCCTTGCAAGAACGTGGGGCTGTGGCGAAACCCAGAGCTTATTGCGGTCATTTTTCACCTATTCCGCCCGAGCCTGCAGCACAGCGAGCACTGGCCTGAGTTTGGCAGCTGCACAGACAGCAGATCGGGGCATGCAGTGGAGACCTGGCCGCCCTGAAGCCAGCCGTTTCCTTCACCTGGTGACTCCAGCACCCCAGCACATGGCACTTCCGAGAGCAGATCCTTCTTCCCACGAGGCCACATGTCCCGGAGGAATTAGAAACCACAGGAGAACCACTGTGCAATTC